ACCACCTGCCATCATGGAACCCTCACGACCCTCATCATGGAACCCAGGTGTGGTGGTGGGTGTCACCCACCCATGTTTTACAAATGAGATACCCAAGGTTCCAAGAGGCCAAGGTCATTTGCTGAGTGCTGGGCTTCCTGACTCCAAATCTAGAGAGTTCTTTCCACTTCACCAACCTGCTTTTAGACTAAGATGTGGACTGACCAGGAGCCACATTCATGGTGAACAATCCCACTCATTTTGCACATACAGGTGGCTCTCATGTTACCGTTACTGCTGTACAACTTTAGGAGAACGCCACTCTCCAAACTCAGAATGGAGATGGAAGCAAGATCAAATGATGACACAGAAAAATCTCATTCTTAGAGAGGTGGGACAGAGTACTGGTAGGAACTCAGGCTCTGGGGCACATGGGTGGCTCAGTTGGTTAAGCGCCCAAATCTTGATTTTGGCTCAGGTTATCATCTCAAGTTTCGTGGGATAGAGCCCTGCATCAGGCTCTGCACTGATAACATGGAGCCTGCTTGAGATTCTCTGTCTCCCTCGCTCTCTGCCCCTCCCCCGCTCATGTGTGTGCGCGCGCGCACACACACACACATTCTCTCTCTCTCTCTCTCTCTCTCTCTCTCTCTCTCTCTCTCAGTCTCTCAAAATAAATAAACTTAAAAAAAAAAATGAACTCGAGCTCTGCCCTAAACAGCAGGGCCAGTCTACAAATCTGAACCTCTCTGTGGGCCTCTTGGCAACCCGCATGAGCTCAGCTCTCCCAGACTCAGTTTCCTTCCCTGCACAGTGGCAGGGGGGAGAGAGACTTCCTCGCACAGTGGCGGGGGGAGACAGATAGGGCGGGGTCACTTACAGCATCTCAGAGTGAAGGGTGGGAACCAAATAACATGTGTAAACATGTGTAGGGCTTCCCGAGTCTCTTTCCCATCGTGGCACACACAGAAAATGATGGCAAACTAGTATCAACAGATGAAGCTGCCACTGACCCTGGCCTCAGGAGCCCCCGCCCCACCTGGCTAACTGAAGGGCTGCAGACATCAGCAGCACTTGTGCATCACTCCCGGCACGCGTGCTGGAAAGGATAGTTGTGACACACCAGAACAGTGCCTGGCACACACTTAAAAGCTCAGTGTACCTGTGATGTGTACTTTCAGGGTGAGTTTTAACTCCTTTTGAGTTTCTGCGGCTGCACTGTCCATATTTAAAGAGCCACATTTCGATTCATAACAATTAAACACAATTTAAAATTTGGTTCCTCACGGGCACTAGCCACAATGCAAGTGCTTAACAGCCACAGTGGCTAGTGACTTTTGCATTGTACAGTGTAGACACTGAACATTTTTATCAGCCCAGGAAGTTCCAAGGGACAGCACTGATCTACAGGAACACTGTTCTGATGACTATGGCTGTTCCTAAAAGCCCTGGCTGTTCAGGACTATGTCCCCTGAAAGCAAGACCTGTCATCTCATGGAACACTTGCGATCGGTGGCATTCTGCTCGGGGTCCTGCACAGGGTAGGGACTCAGCCACTGACCGTGGGATTGACGCTACAATGATTCAAGTCACTATCTTGCTTGCTTCGTTGCCAACTGAGGTAAAAGACCTGACATCTAAGTAATAGAAACCCAAAGAGGGTGACCGACGGACACCAAAAAGGAAATCCAGAGTCCTAGTCCACCATAAAAATAAATGACTATGGGGCACCTGGGTGGCGCAGTCGGTTAAGCGTCCGACCTCAGCCAGGTCACGATCTCGCGGTCCGTGAGTTCGAGCCCCGCGTCGGGCTCTGGGCTGATGGCTCAGCCTGGAGCCTGTTTCTGATTCTGTGTCTCCCTCTCTCTCTGTCCCTCCCCCGTTCATGCTCTGTCTCTCTCTGTCCCAAAAATAAATAAACGTTGAAAAAAAAATTAAAAAAAAAATGACTAAAAATTTTTAGTAAAGATTATCCATTCCTGCACAAACCCGAAACTACATAATCAATAGCTGAGAAAATGCCAATTATCCAGGCTCATTTGAAATATTATTAATCTGCACCGTGAGCGACCACTAATCAACAGTACAAATTGTGAAATCACTATTTATTTATTTGCTGGGAGGAAGCACTCCCCATCACATTTAATCAGATAGGAACAGCTCAATTTGGGGAATAAATGGAACAAACGCAGATTTTTTTTTTAATATAAAATGGTAAGGATCCCAAAGAAAGCTTAGAAGAGGTTACTGGCACCTGTATTGATTCCAAGATCAAATCGGCTCAAGTATCTTAATAAAGCCTGTCATTACACACTCAGACAACATAGACAAAATTATGTTTCGGGTCAAAAGAGGATCATTTGCAGGAGTCAGGGAAGAATTTCCCCTTCCCTCTTTACTACTACTGCAACTCGTAAGGTGTACCTCTGAGTTACTCATCCATTCCCTCCCTCTGCCTCTCTCCTCTCTGGCTTTTGGAGAAAAAGCACAGCCTGCTGCTTGAATGAATGAATGAATGAATGAATGAATGAGTAAATGAATGAATGAGAAAGTGAGGCCTTATTAAAGATGTTCATTTTTGGGGCACCTGGGTGGCTCAGTCAGTTAAACGTCTGACTTCGACTCAGGTTGTGATCTCACACTTCACATGAGTTTGAGCCCTGTGTCAGGCTCTGTGCTGACAGCTTGGAGCCTGGATCCTGCTTCGGATTCTGTCTGTCTCTCTCTCAAAAATAAACAAACATTAAAAAAATTTTTTTTTAAAAAGCACGTTTAGTTTTACGGTGCTCCTCATTGCCTAGCGGGTCCACTAGCTTGGTGTAGACACACACCCACTGAATTTATAAACACCCTGAATGTCATTTAATTGAACAAAGCTTGCTCTAAACCAGCGTAAGAATTAGAGAAGCCCAGACCAAGTGTTTGGGACAGCCTGGCGCACAGCAGGAATCCGGCACATGGCAGTTACTTTCTGTTGTTTACTGTGTCCGTAGCACACAGAATGCAGGAAACACACACCAAATATCGTCTGCATGATCCTCCTAAGTTCTCATATGTTGTTCGCCCTCAGCTTCTCAAAATTCCTAGCAGCCACATGCTTCCTGCCAAGAGTTTCGCATTCACATGAAAGGACCTGAAGAAAAACTGTACTAGCTTTCCTCATCTTATTTATCTAAATTATTAAAACAACAACAACAACAACAACAACAACCTGCCTAATCTAAAGCTTCCTGCTTTCCAGGTAGTGTTCTAAGATTCCCATATTCAAACAATCCTCACAGAGATCCTAGGGAAAGTAGGCACTATTTTTAATCTCCGTCTCACGCGAGGAAACTGAGGAACATAAAGGTTAAGGTCACATAACTAGTAAGTGGCAGAGCCAGGATTAGAATCCAGGGACCCAAACTGTGAGAACAAAGGACAGATGGTGTGGAAGGTGACTGGGCCTTCCAACCGTGCGTGTGAAATCCTCTTCCCCGGTTCACCTCTGAGCAGGTACGTTTAACTGCTGTCTGCAAAGTCCGTGCACATCTCGCCCGAACAGCGCAGCAGAAACTGGGATCTTGGTCTGTGCAAAGCAACGCCGGACAATCCTCTGCAGTCGAGGCCCTGGAGAACAGACATCCGTGCCCTGCCTCCCCGTCTGCCCTTGCAACTCTTCCCAGGGTGCTCGGCCCCCTCCCTCAGCGCCTCTGGAGCGCAGGCCCCTGGCCACCACAGAGTCCGGCTCGAAAGGGGACGATGAGCAGGATGGACACTGAAGTCCACCCAGCGTACCCGTTCACCCACTCTGCTGGGTCCTGTTGCTGTGTCCCAGGAAACACTGAAGAGGCACATCGCCTATTCCGCCCCCTCCCTCTTCAAATTTGGAAGCTGTTAAGCTGCCTCTCAAATTTCTCTTTTACAGACTGAATAGCCCCAATTTCTTCAGCCTCTTTTCAGAGGCAATATTTCTCAGCTTTCAGTCATTTTCATGGCTCTCCCTGGCCTCTCTCCAAGATTCTGTATCTTGTTTAAATAGTGAAGGCCAACACTGAACATGATTTAAGAACAGCCGTGCCTGGAAAAGTAACAAAGGCCCAACCAATACAGACTCCAGAAGGTAAATATTTTCTCGAAAAAATACAAAGTATTACAATATTAATAACAAAAGGCCTTAAGAATTAGGTTGACCAAATAAAATAATTTCTGTTCCCTGTCATATCATTTCCTCTAATAACTGTGGTGGTTTCTGGGAGACTTATCTGTCCTGAGAAGTCTTCTCAGAAACAACTTTGCCACTTCTCAAAACACCCAAGCTTTTCTTCTCAGTCTCCGCTCTTCTTTCCTCCAATACAGCAACCCCATCATCACGAGAGATGCCTGTTCCCCTTCTCACAACATCAAGTTTTCCAGAAATAGCACTTCCTTTCCCGACTTCAACTTCTTCTGCTTTTGGTAACACGTCCTTCTGCCTGGCTTCACTGCCTGCCCCACTCTGGGTGCATTTCAGGGGGTGGGCGCTGGCCCTGGGGACAAGGTAGGACACAAAATGTGCAGAGCCCATCCAGGCCCCTGAATGCAGGATGGAGCCCACCCTTCACTGCTGACCCCTCAGAGTTTTGGGAGTGATCCCAGTCAAGGTCTGCAGGACAAAGCCTTCCACTGGGCCTAAGGGCAGGAGGACTAGGGGACTGGACCTTCCAAGGAGGAAGAGTCACATCGAGGACAAAGCAACACTGGAGAAATGTGACCTCAAAAACACAGAAGCCCCTGGCACAGAGCCAGACACCTGGATGCTCAATAAACAAGCTGGCTCTTGGGCCATTTAAAGAAAAAGCTGTAAAAATTCTTCAATACAACCAGACAGAAGGAGAATGATGCTGACCATTCAAAAAAGCAAAACCCAAATCCTTCTCTCGCTGCACAGAGCCAACACAGTTTTTCTGGACACATTAAGGATGCATCTGCTCCCTGACCCGTCGGCCTCCCTCTTCCAGGAGAGACAGATGTCAGGGCCCTGAGGGCAGCGCACACGCTACCTGTCCACTTGCTCTGGTCTTTCTCGCCTCCACTCTCCTGGTCTTTAGCAAGCTCCTCTGGGTCAGCAGGCGCTTCACTGGGCCCTTCAACATCTTCAATGGCTTCTTCTGAAACAGAAGAAAAGCAAAATGTCAAGGATTAAAAGTAGACAGAAGATGAAGGATTCTTGGTTCCTAGTCCAAAGAATCACCAAGCACAGCACACAGAGGCCAACGACTGTGCCTCCTCTCTCCCTATGGCCCTCGAGAGGCTGACTGCACTCCGGATGTGCTGAGGTCTAGGGAAGCAAGTGGGGCCTTCCCTTTCCTACTCACTGGCATGAGAATGACTCGCTCTAGACATGGGGACATTAGGTATTTCTCTCAATCCTGTTGAAGAAATAACTCCATCTAAATGCCTTAAGTTGCATGTGTCTTTTCCACCCGAAAATGCAAAACAGGAACCACATGGTAGCTCTTGCTTGGCTCCAACCCCAGTGCATTATGGATTTGAACTAGACTAGACCCTACCACTGACCCTTCAGAGGCCTCACAGAGCATAGGCCAGACCACGGCAGGAGGGTTTTTTTTTTTTTTAAGTCACTCATAGTCTCAAGAGTCACAGAATATCACTGAGAGGATTTTGTTAATGTGAAGAGTTCTAGAAAACAAACAACATCTGTAGGTGTGCCAGGCATCAGTGGCAAGGTGCTAGATTCGTAGAGAAAGGGGGAAAAATTGTAACAGAATCATATATTTTCCTTTTGAAGTCAGTCCATTCTTTACCCACCAATGGTTTAAAACTAGCCATGGAAATTCTCTCCAGCTCAACACACAATGCTTTGATAGAGACAGAAGAATGGTCATTTCAAATACAAGGTTACTCAAGTCGGGAGGAAGAAGAGAGATATTCTAAATGCTGAGGCAAAGAAAGCGAGACATTTCTCTCTTACTTTCCTGGCCCTCAGGATCATTATCCAAAACATTCATTAAGAATGGATTAAACGAGGGACACATGACTGGCTCCCTCTGTGGAGCAGCTGGATCTCGAGGTCGTGAGTTCGAGCCCATGCTGGGTGTAGACATTACTTAAAAAGAAAAAAGAAAAGAAGAATAGGCTAAATGAATGAATAAGGCAGGCAAAGCAAACAGAGGTGGGTGAACAACAAAATTGTTAGCAGATTTTGAAGAGCACACCTTCCTAGGTATAGAGACATGAGAACCTGGCTGCCCACATTAATCACTGGGGTCGGCACTAGACTGGGTGCACAGGGACTAGGTACTGGATTTGGGGCTCAGACCAATGTCACCCTAGGTCCCTGAAGCCATGACCCTGCTTTTCAATGTTTCAAGGTGTTACCTTCCCCAAACCTTCAGAAAATAGCTTCTAAATTTCATCACACAAAGGAAGTAAAAGGAATTAAAAGTAAATTGACCCCAGAAGCTTTATAAAACACTTGAGGAAGAAAGTATCTATTTAGAGTCAGATTTTCCTAATTCTTCCCAAAAAGACAATGGAAGTCCGAGGACTGGAAAACTGAACGAGGAGTCAGGGAACATTCTTTCTTCATTACCACCATAAGGGCATTTATGAGGTAGCCATGAGGAACACAAATGAAATAAGATAGTGCTTATTTTCATCTGCAAATAATAGGCCTCCTTATGTAATTTCCATGTCTCCTTTGGTCATACTGCATACGCAAGGTAACATCAAGTCTCCCCATACCCACACTTAGTTCAAACAGAGAAAAATCAGGCAACCATGGTTTGAAGTCAATCTGATATACAGTGCCATATTAATACTGTACATCGTGTAGGAGAGAAAAAAAATTTACATACAAGCATTATTAGAGAATAACACGTAAATTACACAGTATTATAGATGCATAATCTTAATTGTGTCAGGGCAGAATGTCCAATGCACATTTTTACACTTTTGATAAAACTGTTCAACACTGTGATTATAAAATTCATCTTTGAATGGTGATACTAGAATTCAGTCAATCAATCTTAAATTGGGTCTACCCAAAGGAGCGAAGGTTCTTAAAATATACTCATTTGTCCCAGTACATGCTGTGATACAAACTATGTCTAGTAATGTAGACATTAAATTTGATTTGATTATGAAGAGATGGCTGAATGGCCCCTCCTCTCCATCACACACACACTTCACCTTTGATGTAGACAACCTGACATCTAGCAAATAGACAAAACCCTGATGTGGTGAACAGTGCCTGAAGTGCTTCTCTACAAAAGAAGGAACGAATTTGCCCACTGGGAGGCACCTCCAAAGGCCAGCACCCTTCTCCTCACCATCATGCGGGCCGCAGCCATCCAAGCAGAGAGTTAAGAACTCACGGTCACTCTGGCACTGACCCCACTTCCTTAGCCTCTCCAAACACATCTTATTCAGAAGACAGAGAGTGTGAAGAATAAGCACATCGGTGACGCACTGAACAAGGAAACCGCACAGTGCTTTGTGAATACTCCTGGAGCCCTCATTCTCTAAGCCTCGGTTCTTTGCTTTCTTCCCTCCCTACCCTAATACAAGGAGGAAAGTGAAGGCAGCTAAATTCCACTGGGAAGCTGGAGGGCAGAGGCTAATTCAGGAACTTATTTTGTTTCTCTTTCCCTCCCTCCACCTTTTTTTTTTTAAGATTTAAAAATCAAATCCTCTTCTTTTTCAGCTCCTACTCATTCACTAACAGGCTGTTATGTGCTTGGTGGAAGAATAAATGATTAAGAAACTCCTGGAAGAAGAAGTTATTAGGAAACAGCTTCCTTTGCAAGAGGACCAGTGTCACCCCCAACGGAAAACCAGGTCCCATTCGGCTGAGCAGGCACTTCGCTGCAGTTCCACCTGTGACCTACAGGTGTCGCCCTCTGCATGGCAAGGCCTGGAAGGGCAGCTAGCTGCAGGAAGCAGACACCGTCTGGGCCGCCCAACCTGAGCATGTGGAAATAATATACGTCTTCAAGTGAACTGTCTGGTCCTGGGGAAATAAAATAGGACATTCATAAGCAGTTACACCATCTGTCTTTATACCATCATCATCAACAGCAAGAGGAAAAATAGCTCTTTAAAATGGATGAAAGCCCAGGCTGACAGTAACCAGAAAACTGTGAGCTCTGAATACCAATAAAGCCAGAAAAATGATTAAAAAACAGAGATACAAAGTACGAATTTGTCTGGACAGCTCAGACCCACAATGCTTTGCAGGCGGGGTCTGTTTGATTGGTTACGAAAGCCTAAAGAAAGCCCACTCACTAAGACCCAGGCCTCGCCTCGTCCCCCTGCACTGGAACCACATGGGGAACCAGGGGCGCGATGGCATCCAGCGTTTTAACAGAGCGTATCCACACTCCGCGCTGCTGGCACTGGTTATCCAGCCTGTATTCCCTTTAGGAATGTGTATTTGACACCCACGCATTGACGGAGCACGGGGTTGGGGGGAGGGGGTGGCAGTTTCTCACAGATCACAGATTGCATTTTCCACCCGTGAGCTCAGTGGCAAAGGGCCGGGGTCATTACAGGCGTCGATGTTTTAAATATATATATAATACCAGCTACTGGCAGATGGTGGGAACAAGTGAAGACTTGAAGGGCCGACGATCTGGTTTCATCTGGAAAATCCTGTCTTTCCCTCCGATGACGAAGTTGCTGCCCTTCCCTAAGACACCCAGCAGCCACTTTGCCATGTTTAAGGCTGCAACAGACAAATCAAAACCATCTATTCTCCAAGAGTCTAGCGGTATTTCAGAACCAAGCAGAACACCCCAGGAATGTTTTCTCAAGGGCAGAGCCAGGACCTGGGTGAGGAGGTCATCTCTGCTCCCTGCGCCCCCCACCCCCACCCCTGTTCCTGCCAGGGGGCAGCAGGCCCAGCGCAACCCAGACAGAACGTCTGCTTTTCAGAAGACTTCAGAGAAGGTGCTTCTAAACCCCCTACAGCAGAAGGCGACTTGGATGGATACACCCCACAGTGGCCCTCAAACCGAGGCACCCCTCCTATGTGAATGTATTTTCATGTTAAACGGCTAGGAAAACACAAGCAAATCTTGAATAACTGTGAAGTCTTCCTGGTATCTCTTCTGCCTTCAAACTCCACATAAAACTTCAGCCTCCATTGGCTGAAGGTCTTTAAAAAAAAATCTATTTCCATCACTACCTCCTTTTGACAATGGCTTCTCCCAGACGGCACTGACTAGCACTCGGGCCAAACCCAGCCCTGCTCATTCATGTCTCCTGGCTAAGGACAGAGCCCTCAGGTGTAAGAATTTCAGCAGCTACATATATTCTAAGAGGGAAGGGTTCTTGGGGGCAGCTAAGGTTTTTGAGGAGATGATACTGCAGCTCCAGAAAGTTCTCTTCAGTCAGGGTGGTTTTGCTTACCACAAATGCGAACGGTTGTCTTAACACACCTTCTATGTATCATGTTGGCGAAGGTGACTGCGAGATTCGCGACTTAGGGTGAAACCTGCTCCCAGAGGAGGTGTGCATGCCAAGTGGCAGCCCCGTGGAGATTTGCAACAATTTTATGAACAACCTGGAAACGGGTATGTGAAAGGAGCACCGGGCAGAAGCAAGCAGAGAGGTGGCATCATCATACAGTCTGCACTCACCCTGGCCGCATGCACTCCCCAAATGCGATACCCAGAGAACTTGCCAGTTGCCCCCAAAACCAATACCGTTCACCAAATAACTGGGGCCGGGAGCTGCGTCCACTGGGTGTTTTTTACCAATTGCTTACAGACTTGAAGGAAGGGGAGTCAATCAATGGCTAAGACTAGTCCCTCTGTTCCTAACTCTTAACAGGATAATGTAGAACAATTCAAACCTTCCCCCAAACCTGACAAAGCTCCCAATAGTGCCTCATTGTGACAGAATTTTGGAAATTCTCCTAAGAATCAGGGTGTCTGTACCCAAGGCTCTCAGGCGATCACGTTACTTAAATAATACAACAATCTGGGATCCCTGAAGAATGAAACTGTTCTTTCCTTTTTCTTTGGGGTGAGCCATATTTGAGGGTGGGGGTGAAATAAAGTGCATTTGCCTGTCGGCAGGCTCAAGAGCTGAGAAACATTAGCTGTCATGAACCACAATCAAATCAGGTTTGAAATATTTAGCA